AAAAACCAATCCATCTGTGAGGTTTCAATATGCAGCTATCCCCACTCAGCGCGTCTATGTGTCTGGCAAAAACCAATGCATCTGTGAGGTTTCAGTATGCAGCTATCCTCACTCAACACGTCTAGGTGTCTCGCAATCTCCAATACAAACAACCTGTGAGGTTCAATATGTGTCTATCCTCATTCAACGCGTCTATGTGTCCGGCACTCCAACATCACTCAACCCGTGGGGTTCCAGCAGCTATCCCCACGCAACCCGTCTATGTGTCTGGCAATCTCAAACCTCCCCTTTCTGTGGGGTTTCAGTATACAGCTATAATCACTCAACACGTCTATGTGTCCGGCAATCTCCTACATCACTCAACCTGTGAGGTTTTCGTAAGCAATCCTCACTCCGCGCATCCATGCGTCACGCGTCTTTGGTAGCGCATACTATGGGGGCTATATTTGGGGTGGCTTGTTTTACAGCGCTTTGCCAACAGCGCCAACCCACTGAAGTCTAGATTGCGAAGGGGGCTCACGGGGGGGGGGGCAACAAAATGGAGGTCCTGATTCGGGTTGAGTAGCGCTTGATTGATTCTGACGTTCTACAGGACGTTCTCGCATGAAAACTTTAAAAGCGCGCTGTCATTATTCACAGGGGCGCTGCGACAGTAACGGCTTGTTTCTTCTGTCTTGGTATGTATCCCAACAGCGACTATCTTAAGGTTCTGCTTAACAGTAGATGTGAGGCTCCCAAGTAAATCTTACTTTGAGTTGCTGCTCTCGCCCCCCTGTCTCCCTCGCAGCGGGATTGTGGGGGGAAAGGGAAGCGGGCTTCAGTTGAGCCCGCGGGTTCCCCGGGCTAGTTTTATTCGCAAGCAGCGCAACCGCCGTAGCACACCGTTCGACCTGTAAATAGTTCTGTGCAAGGGTCCCAACCTCGGGTCTCTCGCTCCAACGCATTCAGCAAAATTGTGTGTTCTCAACCTCGCGAAACGCGGAGGCCAAAAGGAGTCAGCCGAAGCGACCACACGATACACACACACGAGGAGTCTCCATCAATTGTGACGTGGTGACACATCTATCTCTCGTCACGAGTCCGCGTCTGCCGCAAGGTGTTTGACCCCGTCCGGCAACGCCTCGCCCTCCTCCCACAATACCGTTTCACCTCTCCTACTAATAGCTTCACCAACAACGCCCTCCTCTGGCTGGCCCCCAACACGACCAACACCGGCGGCCGGCTTGCCGTCTTCGTCTGCCGCCGCTCCAACGGCGGCAACACCACTACCACTGCTACTAGTATCTCGTTCTTCGAGAATGGTCAAGACTCGGCCCAGCTTCGCCTCTAGGCGCGCTACTTGCGCGTTCAACGCTCCCAGCTGCGCCGTCACGTCTCCCACCTCCTGTCGGCCACTCGCAACAGTAACAGTGGTAGCGTTAGCGTTAGCAGCGTCGAAGGAGGGCGCTACCGAACGGCCGCCGTCTTGTCCGGAGGCGGGCTCGACAGTCGGCTCCTCGGCTGTGAAGGGGCGACCGTCTCCTTCGTGCACGGCCTTAAGCCCTCTGCGGATGGATGCAAGAGGTCCACGCGTGCGAGGGTGGCGGCTTGTTGTGAGCTTGGGATGTGAGAAAACGCCTGGCAGCCGGTCGCCCTCGGGGCATCGCAACAGCAACGGTTACGGTGGCCTACCCCGGACGCATTTCCACGAATGTTCGTGAGTGCGGGCCGGCGCTGGAACAACCTTCAAATAGCCATTACTGTTGCTGTCTACTACATTGTCATGGCAAGAAAACGGGAAGCACAGCAGTACCCATGTCTACCGAAGAAGGACCGCATGATGCACAAGCCGCGAAAGTTCGCCCGTCCGAAGACAAAACGATGCTTCTTTCGCACAGGTCAGGGTGTAGCTCCATCGTCGTGAATCGCCGCCGCACCGCCATCGGCCCACACTCACGATCGGTAGTCCGGAAAGGCCAGCGACCGGCCACTCGCCGCCAGTAACGCACGCATTCTTTCGTTGTCCACGCGCTTGTTGCCCCCGCCCCTAAAAGGTCCAACAATTGTTTGAGCGGCAACAACGAATGTTGATTGGCGGAAGGAATGAACGCGTGAGGGAGCGCGCGGCCAACATTGCCCGGAGTGGCAGGAGTTGGGACACTTCGGTCTTCGGTGCAGGACGCTGCTTCTGCTGCTGGTAAAACCGATAGAAAACCTGGCGGGGACAAGTTCAAAGTCTCGACATACTGCTGTACCGCGCTCAGCCAAGCCTTCCTCAGTATCAAGGGCATCATGTTAACGCTCTATCTACCACAGAATTTCCATCCCCGTTAACCGGACAACTTTGTTTAGTATTTCCCCAATCGGTCGCCCCGGTGGTCTAGTGGTATCCTCGTAATCCGCTAGTCGCAGAGGTCGTGAGTTCGAATTCCTACGGGGTGAAAAATTTGCAAACTTTGCGGGTGAAAGCGAAACAAAGCTGAAAAGCTCTCGTGAGTGCCAAACTTCGACGTTAGCACCGTCGACGAGGGAAAGGGACAGCTGGACCCTTCCCGCGATAAAAATAAAGTTCAGCACGCACCGCAGGAGGATGGTGGGGCATGAAAATAAATAAAGATGAAGAAAAACGCCCTGGTGTTTACCCTCTCCTGTGTGACCCTGGACGGTTGTAGTTATACGAAAAAATACACTGAAAAGTGTAGTACTCTACATACGCTGAAAAGTGTAGTACACGTCTCACCACGAAAAATGGGGGGACTGTCGCCATAATAAATAAATAGGACGAAAACACCCACACAACACCACAATCTGGGGGAACACAGTAGTAATACTTGTACACATGCTGAGCACATACCTGCACCACAAAACCTCATCCTCAAAGAGCCTCTAGGTCACTACACAGGGTACTGGCGTAAGCAGGGCACTCTAAGTAGCGAGGACATTTCGAAAGGGGGCGTTCACCCAGACTCACACGGCCGAAACAGCGGCACAACACTCTGATCAAGTTATTCCAATGAGTACCTAAATAATCGCACCCGCTGGCCGCACCTTCGATTGACGTACTTCTCCGCGGGATCTGGGTCTTGGCGAGGGAATCCTAACAACTTGCACCCGTACGCCAGCGTCTGGGCAAGAAAAAGAAGAGCAGATGCGATGCACCCGACGAAAGAACGTCCCGAAACGAGCAGACCGGTTAGAGACATTTGAGAGCGGGTCACTCGCGGCATCGAGGCTCCTTCCCCAACACTGGGCAATCAATCGCCAAACAGCTGTCTTGCTGTAGGTCTAGCTCCATGCAGAACAGGGTATCACATGGCGGGAGCTCAGCGTGTCATACCATGCGACAAAAAGTGGAGGCCACTTTCTAAGCGCCCTCGGGTGGGGTACAGTGCTTCGACGGTTGTAGCCGGCGTAGTAGATAACGCTTTCGAAAAGGAGACGAGCGTCCACACAATGACGGTGAGCGGCCGCATCCCAAGAGGTCGAAGCTCCGCAACAGCTTCTGCTCCCAAAAACTACAACGACAGGGCCGCCACTCTGCAGCTACCCCAACACGCTCGAAGGCAAAGCACCTCCTCGCCTCGTATCTCGTAGACGGGAGATCGTCCGCGACGTTGAGCACCATGCCAGGCTCGGGCCGCTCGATCGAGGCCTCCACCACCCCAACAATGTCGAACACGTGCGTCCGAGAAACCATCGTCCCGTCGTCAGAGCCGGCCAGTCGAATATCCCCGTTATGCCTGTGCAACGTGTTCAAGCAGGGCGTTCAATGTCTGTCTTGAGAGGGCAATAACGATTGAGGAGAGGGAAGCAGGTGTAATGGGCTCGTCTGAGCGCTTGAACTTGTTCAACCAGGGCGTCCAAATTTTCGAGAGGGCTACAACAAGTACGGAAGAGGGAAGCAGGTGTACTGCGCTGAGCAAGACACAGGTGGCTGTCAGGCGTGAGCTACATTAGCCGCGGCACACTTGTTCTACCAGGGAGGTTACACGACCGTGCAGAAGACGAACCGAACGTGAGCAGATGCTCACAGCAATCCTTCTCGATCCCGGTGTCCACGGCGTGTTCTTTCATGCGCCAAGGCCGAACCTGCCAGCTCGCTTCACAGCCGACCAGCCGGCAATAACCAAACCTCAATCTAACTCCACTAAAGGCGAATCGAGTATACCAACCGACGGGCACCCGACGCGTCCACGCACCTCGCGACAGCATCCAGAGCGCTTCTGCCGGGACCGTAGATCCCGGCCAGGCGGAAGACATGCACGGGGAGACCGTCGCGCTCCTACCGTAGCACAGCGAGCAGGGCGGGGGTCCGAGATGGCCAAACAAGCAGTTTGCAGGAAGAGCGGACGTTACACGAACAACCCACTTCACTTCAAGACAAAGGCGACACAATCACTGCTGTGTGCCCATCGAATTTCCGGGTACGCTGCTTGCCGCTTGGATTATGCTCTCCCGACTTGCATCCAAGGGATGGATGTCTGGCCTTGGGAAGGAACTAGCAGTCAACCGACAGGCCTCTCCTTCGGGGCACTGCGTCCATTCCAGTCCACCGCTCATGTTGGGCTACGAGACGATCGTGTGAGCTATGACAATGGCTGTCAACGCGACTCGACTTTAGCCGTCTTTCTGCTCCTTGCTCTGGCCTTCTATTTTCACTCTTTGTTTACCCGCCCTCCTACACCCTGTACCGTGCGTCTCGCTGCGAAATCTATGCACCCATTTCTCCCGCACCCCGACACGATCACATTTTCCCTAACCCTCTCTCTCTCACGTGAAGCCGAAGCCAGGACCTCTCCGCCTTGAGCCTCGCCTTTGTCCTCGGCGCTGCAGGCCATGGCTCGTCCTCCTCCGTCACCCAACCCCCGCCCCGGTCCCCGTACACCCCTGGAACAAGGCCGCGAGAAGCGCGCGCCGGAACGTCATTGCACGACTACGCCTTACCCAATGCCATGAAGCTCCTGTTGTAGCACAAGGTGGAAGCACTACAGGTGCTGTGGGTTGCAACATTGGAGGAGATTAGATCTTCAGCTTCAGGGTTTTGGGAGGTGTGCCACCCAAGAGACCTACCTGCCGGCAGGCTCTCTTGTCCATTCTCAACCTGTACGATTATTACTCCCAAGTCCGTCGTTGTTACAAAGTCGCCACCGTCGAGATCGCAACAGCGGGTTCAAACGCACGAGCAGACGACTCAACTCCCTCGAGCACTCCATCTTCTCAATGTACCCCCCCTTTTGCTAAGGGAGCAAAAGCAGTACTGTAGCAACTTCTGTACGCCATCCCACCCTCTTCAGGTACTGTGCGACCTTCATGGAACTTGTTGTTGTTGTTGTTGTTGTTGTTGTTATTGTTACTGTTGTTCGTCTTTCGGTCTCCGCTCAGCACCACACTGGTCCAACTGACGCGGACGTCTTCCGTGGTCACAAGTCAACCACCCCCAATAGGGTACACCAATCTACATAAACGGAAGGGAGTCGGAAGGAAAACAAACCACATGGTACCCTTACCCGTGGAAGAGAGGTAGCCCACCCATCGAAGGTTACCCTTGCTACGGGCCCACTGCAGCTCCGCCTCATGCGCCACGAGGACCGGGTCTGCACCCGACCTGCTCGGAGTAAAACAGGGGCATACGTGTCATTGACGCCGGTGAGGGCGCGTCACAAGGCAGCTGGTACCGACTCACTACTGCCGAAAAGGCTTGCGAAGCCTCCCGCCATGGCTCGTACCAAAAAAGAAAAGTTGTCGAGCCGGCGTGACACTTTTGAACAAACCAAGGCATCGGGCTCCACGATCTCTGTATGAAAAACAAGCGCAATGCCCGGCCTAACGTGTACCACGGAGCTGAGACGGGCTCACTGCAGGGCTGGTGGCACTGTGCTCAGGACGCAGGTCGCACTCGCGAGCGCCGACAGAGGCTCCGGCTGCATCATCGGCCCGCTCCAGTCGTCAAAAATGAATGCCTGACGGACGCGTCCCGACACACACCAGGAAAAGGCAGAAGAAAGGAAGTTTAGTCGATCTCAGACGTGAACAGGAATCAAGCCTGCTTGGTCATTGGCCGACCCATGTTGAAAGACATGAGCACACGGGAAGCGCATCTAGTAGCAAAGGATGTGTGCGTTGCCGTTGCCACCCTCTAAGCGCCGTTGACTATGCCAACATATATCGCCGCCGCGTCGCTCGATACTCCTCTGCCGCCATCATGCAGAGCGCCGCGCGGAAGGAGCTCGATAGGCCGCAACACCAACACCGTATTGGGTAAAAACGTGGTTGCGCTCTGTACGCTAGGCCGAGCAGAACAGCGAACACGCAACGACCAGTAAGTCTCGCAGTGCAATCGCAACAGCTTGTATTGATGCCCATAGCAACATGCATCGGTACAAGGAGTCGGACTGCATCTTGTACCTTTATTCCCTGATCTCCCAGGGACTTGACCTTTCTCGGGTCGGTGCAGGTGCCATGTACGGTCCAGCCCTTCCTCAGAAAGGTCAGGGCAACAGCCGTGGCGACGTAACCCACGCCGAAGATGAACAACGACTGACCGGCAGCAGCCTCGGGGGCTTCCGTCTCGGCCGAGGACAGCGGTGGGATGGCCTGGCGCCGTCGGCGTGCGTGGGCGTTCGCAGGCAAGCGCGTCGTTGTGCGAGACGCTGCTCGTGCCGTAGCCTGACGACGTCTGTTGTTCGAGCAACGTATGGCAGCACTTCCCGCTGCAGGAGATGCTGCCCACGCCGTCTGCGCTGCGGACAGGCTTCGAACACCGGTAGGCGTTAGCGCGCTTATTCGAGGTTTCCTTCTTGTCTCGGGCCTAGAACAACGCATCCTGCTGCTGTTGCGACTGCTGGACCAAAACGTTGTGGTAGTTGCGCCGCTTGTTGCAGCAGGAGGCGGAGATGCTGCCATCGTCCTGGCGGTGAGCAAGGAACGACCCGCGTCCACGCCCTGCGACGACGCCCATAGAAGAAAAACGTATGACGTTGAAGGCAGACGCCGCATCCTAACGTCACGATGTGATCGTGTGTGTCGCCGTTGCGCTAGACACACTGCACTGCACTGCTGCTCTCTGTGGCCAAGTCTGCAAGCAGCAACCCACAATGGGGGACGCGCGAACCCACAATAAGGCATACCCTCCAACACATGAAAGCGCTTTCCGCAGAGGCCCCGATCCCGCCGCCTTTCGCCGCCATCATCTCGACCTACACACACCTCGCACCTGGCACACCAACGAGCCTGTCATGTGTATATAACGGCTTGACACAGCGTATAGCCATATGGTAGGTGATGTATCAGGAGGGTTGTATCGAAAACACAGAGTGTAGAGGGTCATCGGCACCCACACCGCCGTCTGTGAAAGAAAAGTTGCTGTTGCAGCATCGACATCTCGAGATGGCTCAGCCGTCCCAGGAACACCCCGGTGCTCTGCGCGAGGACGGCCACGCAACTGCCGAACGCGAGGCACGAATTCTAACGTGGAATATCAATGGGCTGAGGAAGGTGGCCGCGAGTCACGGGGGAGTGAAGCAGCTATTGGATCAGTTCAATGCGGACATCGGTAAGCAGCACTGCAGACCTTACTTGTAGCCACGGGCCAACAGCAGTGGTCGCTGTACGTGGTTGCTGGGTCTTCAGCCTGCCCCCCACCATTCGGTTGTTCGTGTGTATTGTTGCCACAGCAAACCAAGCCCACCTGCTTACACGCTCTAAGCAAAAATCCGCTGATACTACTTCTCTCGTTGTACGCTGTTTGTTTTTATTTCTTGCGGCGTATTCGCGAATTGTCGCTGGCGCTCCTGCCGGTTCCCGCCAAAATCCAACTACAACCAACCAATGGACAGTTTGCTTCCAAGAGATCAAGATCACCAGGGCCGGTCTAGGTGAGATAAATCATCCGCGATTCTGCCTACCACAATACTGGCGCCAGGCTATGCCTCTTGGCGGTGGCCTCGCGTCCGAGTCTGGATGTCTACTGTGGTAGCCTCCAGGTTTGTGAAGGAAAACCCACCCTATCGGGACAGCAGTCCTCCGGGTGTTGACAAGTCTCCACAGATCCAGTGTCGGGGATGCCTGCCGGGTACCGGAGGTTGAGCGTGTTGAACTCGACCACTGGAGGTTTCTGTTCGATGTGCTCAAGGCACACTCGTTGTCTTTAGCCATATTTCGACGATGTCCACCGCTCAGTCTGGTTGGAACGCATCATCGCCACCACCGACAGCCTCGCATAAATACACAGCCTCGAGTCAGCAGTGCGGCGCAACTTCACCGGGTTGTGATCTGTCTCGCTGTGCCTCCGCCTGCCGCCCGCAGTTGAGCACGAGTTGGCGCGGGCGCAGGGTTACCACGGCTTCTTCCACCACTGCAAGCTGCCCCGAAAGGTGTCGTACTCTGGCGTTGCGACCTTCGTCCGATCGGAGTCCGGGCTGAAGACCGTGGCGTCGACGACGTCTTTCGGAGACTCGGCGTTTTTCGGCTCTCCCGGGAGCTTTGTCGGGGAGCGAAGGCTAAGCCCGGACAGACTAGCGGCACTGGATTCTGAGGGACGGGTGCTGGTGACGGACCATGGGCACTTCGTGCTCTTCAACGTATACGCTCCGTGCATCAGGTTGGGTCGATCCTCCTCTCTGGTACAGCAGGAGTGGGCCCTGCATAGTGCTGGTATATTTTACTGCCAACATTCCGGACACCAGCACTATTCAAAGTACATACATAAGGACTTGGTTTTTCAGTGTGTGCGAGCCAAAAACACCGGCACTATGCCGGGCACCCGGCACTATGCTGTGTATTCGTTGAGTTTTGCTTTCTTCGCTTGGCGAGTGCTTCTGCCCTCTCTCGTCCTTTCACGAAATCGCCTCGCATGACCGAGACGCTTCTGAATCTCGCGTCGGAGCAGCACCCCTCATGTTTGGTGGTCTCTTTTGTCTCATGCTCGTTTCACAGCCCCAAGGCCCCCCGTCTTGTTGGTGGTTTTACCGGTGCAGCTCCAGCTCCGACGACGAGAAGGAGAAGACGGAAGATCGCCGGGCCTTCAAGCGAGATTTCTTGGCCACGCTGGAAGCGCGCATCCTCGAGATCCGAAGCCGTGGGCGAGGAGTCGTGCTGGTGAGGTTGGTCTCCCTCCTAAAAACACCCACGTGCAGCAGCTTATGTGTACCGATTGTCCACTGATGGCAGTTTGGGTTACGCACAACGCTTCATAGCTTCTGCGAGCCGAGCGCTTTGAAAAACTTCGTTCCATTCGTTCCATCCCGTCGCTGACTGTAGCGCAGCGATTGATTGCGGACACCCTACCCGCCGTAAATGTGCGAGGTTGGCATTCTGCCACATGACCACTCGGAACGTGCATGCCATCAGCGCACGTTTGAGCCTCCTTTCGGACACGTTCGCAATTTTTTGTGCCTTCGGCCGCGGTTGTCCCTGCTCCGCACTCTTTGTTGTCTATATCGCTGACCTTAAGGTGGGTGATTTGAACGCCTGCGCTAGTCAGCTGGACCACGGCTTCACCATGACGGATTCCGAGTTCTACGCCTCCAACTGGTCCAAGTGGATCCGGGGGATGCTGGGGTTGGGCTCGCCGGAGCCGCCGAGGTTGGTAGCGCCCCATAATGCCTTGGTTTTGATTTTGGCTTGACCTGGTTATTTAACCTAGACAGCAGTTCTTGATCTTCTCCACTCTCCACAAGGTGGCCTCTCGTTTTGCTATCTGTCGGTGACGAAGTAACTAAGCCTTCTTTTGTCTTACTCATGGGCGGGGGGATAGACGGCTGCGGTCTCCGTGTTTGGTCAAAGGCTGGCGTCTCGGCTTTCGCAAGGTAGGGGGACGGTGTGAGGGTTGCTCTCCCAAAAGATCCTTGCCGAGGGGAAATGGATGTTCTTGTTGTTGGTCTTCTTTGCGCTCAATCAATTCCCTGTTGTAATCTTGTCGGTTGACGTGCTCCGTGCCTTTCGATGGCGAATGCGTCCCGACCCTCACTCAACGTTGTTGGAACGCTTCGACGCGCGTGTTTCCGCACACAAAGCTGTTGTTGTTGTTATCCGTGTCTACTAGAAGTATAATACTGCCGCTTGCCGTGGGTATCCGCTGATTCCACCCTCATCGCGTTTTGGTCCAAAATCATAACACGCTGTGCGAAGGCTGGTGGACTGCTTCCGGCATCTGCACCCGGACCGCAAGGGCGCCTTCACATGTTGGAACACCCAGACAGGGGCACGTGACAACAACTACGGCACGCGCATTGACTACATCATCGCGGGGACGGACTTCGCAGACCGAGCTCTCCGGGCATGCGATATCATGCCGGACTTTCTGGGATCGGACCACTGCCCCGTGCGCGCGAGGTTCGCGTTCCCTTTGGCGGTGGGGTTGGCGGCGGATGCCCCGGGCAAGAGCGAAGGCGACGAAATCGCAAGAAGCCGGTCTGAGAGCGAATTGCCGGAGCACCCGCCCGAGTGCTCCTGTTTTTACCCAGAGCTGACGGCGAAGCAGGAGAAGCTCGCCAAGTATTTCGTGGCCGGCGGCCAGAATGAAGAGTCTGCCGTGGGTACCGAAGGGAAGGGGGCTTATGACAGGTTGATAGGAGACAGGAATGGCGCCGGGGCGAGCGGCGTTACGCGGCCTGCCGCGGGCGGCAGAAGGGGCGTGGTCGCGTTCATGAGGGCTTTGCCGGGTACAGGCGTAACGGGGAAAGACGGGGCCGGTGTTGCTGGAAGTTTGATGATGCGCGCGAAGAAAGTAGGGTCTGCAGGCCGTACATCGAGCACTAGCAGCAGCGGTGGCGGTAGCTCGACGGCACGGCGGCCTGGCTCCGGTGGGTCTCGTCAGAGCAAGCTTGCGTTCGGGCCCGTGGCAAATGATAACGTTTCGACCTCCGCGGGCGCCGCCAGTCGGGAAGCGCCTGCGGGCGGCCGTGGCGAGGTGTCGGGGACTAGAAGAAGAGCTGAAGGCGCCGTGCCTTTACGCACGGGAAACGAGCGAGCCGGTGGTGGTGGTGCACAGACCTCTCAGGCGATTCAACCCCCCCGTTCGACGGTTCACGCATCGGGTGGGGGGCACGACACAGCAGGGGCCGGTGGGGGGTCAGGCAGCGTTAGCACGATTGGTAGCAGCAGAATTAGCAAGCCTGGCGGTGGAGGCGGGGTCGATACAGGGTCGGGCGAGGGGCCGAACGGGGCTGGTGGTAGTCGGGACAGCGCAGAGGCGTGGAAGGCCATTTTCGGACGGAAGAAGAGCGCGCCGACCTGCGAGCACGGGGAACCGTCCATCCAGCGAACCGTTCTTAAGCCCGGTCCAAACCACAACAGGAGGTTCTACACTTGCGCTCGTTCGGCGGGTAACTGGCCGACGGACCGAAACGCGCGTTGTACTTTTTTTCAGTGGCGAAGGGACGGGGTTAGGGGTTACAAGGACAAACCTCCCCGCGCTGAGGGCGGTTCGAATAATATTAAAAAACGACGCACGTGAAGTACCGACCTGCTGTCTGTGCATACCGTTTCGGAAGGATATTGGCTCGCGAACGTTTTGTTCCGTGCTTGCTGCTGACCTGGATCCCTTCTGGTTGTCCGCACTCTGTTCTACATACGAGTGCTTCGATGTGCCATCTCGAACGAAAGGGGGCGCGTAAAAGCAAAAACCCCCAAAAAATTGACGCTGTGAATCAATTGCTAATGTGTCTGAAGAGTCTTTCTTCGATAAAGATGGATTCGTTGGGTCATGTTGACAAAAAAAACAAAAAACATGCCGAACACACGGCTTTGTACTGAGTTGAGAGTTGAACGATGTTTTTGCGCTTTTGGTTACTCTTGTTGTATTGAGTGCATCATAGAGTGGTCGCACGGCACTGATGCAGGTAGTCTACTCCTGTCTTACAGGCGCCGGGGATCGGATCAATTTGGCAATCATCCCGCTTGGCCCCTCAGAGGAGGTTTGCGCGTCATGACTCCGAACTCCGGCGCAAGATGCGGCGCAACTACAACAACGTTGCCTCCTTCTTGATCATCCCACACACCGCCGGCCGCGCATCACATCTCAGCTTCGAGTTCCACAACAGTGGAAATGCATCCAGGTTTTATGCTCCGCCTCGCTGCCCTCCCTGGAATAGCCCACGCCTTCGTCGGAGGATGGGCTTCTTTCGTGGTCGGTGCCGAGCAACATCGACAGCAGCAGCATCGCTGTGCTGTTGGTAATCCCTTCGCGCGAGCGGGTAGTCGTAGCAGGTTTGCTGGCTCCACGAGACGGCCCCCTGTTGCGGCGCCTGGAGCAGCACCTAGGAGGCAGCAGCTCCGGCTTATGCCCAACGAGTACGAAGCGTTCTTCAACAAGGCGTCCCGGTTAGGGGCGGACGCGACGAGAGACCTCGCGCCCGAGGAGCGCGCGCAGAGAGCTATGGAGGCAAGTTGACGCTGTCATGTGTAGAATACATGTCATGTGTAGTGCTGATGCCAAGGTGCAATCATCCCCCATCTCTCTGCGCTGCTGATGACCTTCTTATTGAGCAGATTACAGTAGTGCATGCCTTGAGAGGGAAGCCTTGTCTGTGGTATGTGTGGAACAATGTTTCAGGCGAAAAGGTTTGTCGCGCTGTTGCACATGATGACACAACATGCTCCGTGGGTCGCGTCGATGTTTAAGTTTCCCGATATTTTGAGGAAATGTTGGCACCACTTGGCACCACGTGCATGCCGCTGTCTCATAGGTACAGCAGTAGTAACTACAGCAGCAGCTACCCAGCAACAGCAATATGTAGCCAAAAGTTTCCTGAGCTTCCTGCGCTAGAGAAGAGCTGTAGCTTTCAAAAAAGGCCAGCGCTGGCAGGCACAGATATTCCCACGGAACTCCCCTGCAGTTGGTACGCGCAGTTGGAACTATATTTCAAACCGCTGCTGGACTGCTTGTGTACTGACGAACGCTGCTGCTGTGGTTGCTTGCTGGTGCTGAAGGGGGAGAAGCTCGAAGACGAAATCATTGAGATCGCGACCGTGTTGCGAGAGAAAGCGGATGAAATGGTGGCCGAAACGGGCGCCATTAACTTCGAGATCATCCAGCCGATGATCGACGAGATCGCCGTCTTGAAAAGCAAGTACAAGTGAGTACCGAAACACTACACCCAAACGAAAAAGGCAACCAGAAACGCGTGTAACCGGAGATGTTCGCGCAGTCAAAAGGCAGAAAAGCGAGATGCCGCGCCGGACGTATTTTGGGAACTGTAGATATCGTTGCTTACATGTTCCGCGTGGGGCTTCTCGTGCTGCTACTGCGGCTGAGACTGTCAGTCCTCCTGCTCTCGTCTGTTTCGTTTCTTCGTTGTGCTACAGTCGAGTGTAGTTTCAATTTTTCGATCGAGCGATTTTAACCTCAGTTTTCAGCCGTGTACCACACCTCGAAACATCGTACAAAATTTGGCGATCCAACACCATTCCTGGTGAGAGGGAGCCATTAGCACTCCTCGCTGGTCGAGCTCGGATGCAAGTACACGCTACTCCACGCTCTCGCGCATGTTTCAACCCCCACTCGTTCTCTCTACGGAACACTTCAGGGTGGTGATGGGGGCAACTCAGACAATGGACGGAGACGGAGCTCCGGATGCCGATGATGGAGAGGATGCCAGCTCTTGTTGACCTAGACCACGCCTGCTAGACGTCCATTGTTTCCTCTACGCTGCTCGGGCCGGAGGAAAGCCGTGCCCGTCGCAGTTGGCTCCCTCGCTTGAAGCTTTTGGAGAGGGGTGGCTGGGGTTCCCGACTGGTGCAAGGTAGTAACCCCACTCACTTGGACTCGCTGTGGTCGGGTTTCAGCTTGTGTACTCTGATCGGGCTGTTGTTGTGCACCCTCTCTTGGAGCCTTCGTGCAGCCGTCCGAAGGTTAGATGTGGGGTGGCTGGTTTACGGTCTTGTTAGCGTGGTACTCACTCTACTATACTATTCCTTTTACTCGAGAGCTATAATACTTTTGTCGTTTCACGGTGTCCCACTGTAGTGTTTTCGTTTCAAGAGTGTTCATCTGGAGTGTGCAAGGAGTAGCATTGGATATATATTACGTCTCACTGCTGCTGCATCGCAATCAAACCATCTTGGGCCGCTTCTGGCTTGATCGGCTTCGGCAAAGATGCGCAATAGAAATGACCCAGGTGGTAGCCCATACCTTCCGTGTGGGCGCCGTAATCTCTTCGTTGCAAGGGAAATGCTTATATGTAGCCCCTAGATCAAGCTGGGCAAGATGCGATGGACTCCCTAATAAGCACCGCACGAGAAGCAGTTGATGATTGTGCGAAACTGCCGCAGTGCTGAAGGTGCTTTGTCGCACTCGGATTCTCCTTGTCCATGCTGGGACCTTTCAGAATGGGGACACAACCATGCGTATGAGTGCCGAACACCTTGAATGTTATCCGTGTAGCGGTCGGTGCCTCCCTACACTGTTACCGCTAGATTGTTTTGTGCTTGCTGCCCCGATTTTGGCACAGTTGTATGTTTCGACAGAGCAGCTCGATCGTGGAGGAGACTGCAGCGTGGTTTAGTTTTGTGCCACGAGACCGTCGTGTTTGGCGTGTTGGCCCTTGAAATATTCCCGTCTGATTGTAGTTTAACAAGTGAAGCACAAGAAGCAAATTTAGTAACCGGTAAAATGATGAAAGGTCCCGTGTTTTTGTTATGAGTTTTAAAGAAGCGAGAACCACGCAAGGCACGTGTCACTCCATCATAGTACGGACATTGCTTCGGTGCCGGGTGTAGGGCGTGTGCATCTCGAGACGATCGAACCCAGGCATTCCCGACGTCGCGCGCAGCATGCCGACAAGTGAGCATGGAGCTGGTGGTGTCACGACAAAGTCAGTTGCTGGGAAATAACCAAACCTTCTGATGAATAAGAGGCCTTGTCCGGTATCTTAACCACGACTGCAGTGCCTCTTTTTGTTCGGTAACGCGGGTACACTTGATATTTTTCGATGGTGTGCTACGCGGCGAACAAAAAGGCGAAAAAGGAGCAATCTTAGTGGTGCCATCAACGCACGTCGCATCAGGGGAGAAAGGCCCTTGCACGTAGAGAACCGTCGTGCCGGCCCTCCGTTCGGCCGGAACAACTTCAAGAAGCGCCGAAGGACCACCGATCGTGAGCTTTGCACGCACAACCGCGTGCTGCAAGACTTGACGGGCGCTTTAAAGACTCGACGGTGTTATGTACTATTGTCGTAGCCATATACCCGTGAGAGGAGATCATGTGAGATCGATTAGCTTTATTGGACACGATTTTATCAATTTACAGCGAAGCCCCCCCCCGTGAAACGTTTTACCGCGGAGGCGTGTGCTTGCGCCTGCATCTCTGCCGGGTTGTTGTTCATCGCCCGCTGCTCGTCCTGCATCTCCCTCAACATCTAGAGAAAAATGACACACCACGCCGAGAGAGATAAAGGGGGGCAGATAGACCGGTTTCAAGAAATGAAAACGGTGTGCGAGGGTACGGAGTTAAGACGGGGGCAAGCGGGAGCGAAAAAACAAAAGTAGATCATCAAGGCAGGCACACGAACCCCACAGAGATTATGGTGTAGTCAACCCAGTTTCTGCTCCACCTGCACGATATCACCACCAGGCCCTTTCGCAATGTCTATGCGTTGTATTGGTGTTGCGCTCGAGACGATAAGTGTGGCCCATAAAAATACGAGGAGTTACTTCAAAGAATCGTAGGACACGACACGTTTTCCCAGGCACACGTGTGAAATTAAACATGACGAGCCGTTGCTCTTTCAAAGGTTACTCAGCAGCCATGCATCATGCTTTGATAGACCGCACGCACGCACCTGCTCCCGGCGCTTGTGTTCGTAGTGCTTGCGCTTGGCGTCTTGCAGCTCGCGAGTGATTCGCTCCATCTCGTACTTGTACTCGTTCACCTGCAAACCGCCGTCGGAAAAAAATGAGCAGGTCTGAGAGAGATAGTTCGCAGCGTGGGCAAGGGCGTAGCAAGAGTATTCCGTCCACGACAACTTGTGGGGAGGGAAAGATCCAAAACTGTGTTGAAATCACCGAGGGATGCAAAACTAATGGATGGTAACATAGGACGGGTGGCGGTGAATCTTCTCAAAAAATCCTTGGGGGTGTGTCGAGCGTGGGGTTGACGTCTAGTGAACTCGATACGATCACGGCTGTGGGATTGTAACATAGGGATGACCGTTACCCTCCGTACGGAAGCTACCGTCGTCTCATCACGGCCATTTATCTATTGACGCGGTGGTCCCGCAAACATCGTGCCGCCCCGCAAAGTCTTGCCACACGCATGTATGGGCGTTCCCTCTCTTCCTCGGAGGGGGTGGTCCTTGCCCTATATCCTCTGAAATGTATTTCTGGCCCCTCTTTTGTGACCGTGCACAGGGCCGAAGCTGAATCACTATGTCATTCACGGCCCAATCTCTGACTGGTTGGTTCGAGATCAACGCGTGAGGAGCGTAGCAGAGAATATGTCCGATCCCAGCAAGTACAGCGGTTCGTCGATCCACCTCCAGGGTGTTCTTGGTCTTATTCGAAGGGCAAAGAGAGAGGCATTTTAGTTGTTTCGCGAGGTGAAAAAAGCAATGATGATAGACTTGAGGCCACCGAACCGACCCACCTGTGCCTGGAACATGTTGAGCTCCGAGGCCATCGCTTTCATTTGCCTTGTCTTCTCCTTGAGGCTGGCCTGATACACCGACAGCTGCTCCGCGACCTCGGGCCCGGGCTATTGTGTATCGGAGACCAGTTCGTTTTGGCGGGAGAACTACGTATGATTCGGGGTTTGCTTGATCTTGTGAGGTGTCACGATGCAAACTGTCTGGCTGCTGAAACCTTGAATAAGTTGGGTAAAAAAGCTGCTACATGAGGCCCGTCACCCTCAATAAGATAAAGCCACAACCACTCGGCAAGAGAAAAAGGGGACAAGAAAAGCAAGCGAAGCGAGCAAGCAAGGCATAGAGCGCCTGAATGCCGGCGATCGCCCCCCCCGCAGAAGTCCGAAAACGGTGCTGCTGTGTCTTAAATGGGTTTGACTCCCTCCCCGGGATTCTTGGTGAGGAACCGTACCATACACACAAATGTTCCGGCGGAGTCGCACCAACACCATGGTGTAGACATTACCATACTCATTGGTCGGTCAAGCACGGCTTTTGCTGAGGGCTCGACTGCCGTGCAGCGCGTCAGCAAAAAGATCAATAGTGTGCGCAGAACGACCAAATAGCGATAAGCGATCGTCTTTCCTTCATTCCTACACCAGAATTGTACCTGTCCCGAATGAAGGCCCGGTAAACGGGGGAGAACCCCGACAATGCAGGCGTAGTAGACGATATCGCACCCACACCAACGACCATGAATCGCAACGCAGTCAGATTTCCGTCTTCTGCGTTATTGACGATGTTCCTAGCACCGCCCCTCCTTGACGGTGTTCACGGTGTGCTCCCGACACACCAGAACGGATGGCAAGACACCCTCCGTCAAACCAACCAGCAAACAGCTAGAGCTATCTTGGTAAAGTCACGCGTGGTACTTGACGACGAACCCAGACACCCTGTGAATCACCTGCCGTGCGAGGATGTCCTTCATCTCCTTGTACAGCTTTTCCTTCTCCTGCAGCAACAAATCTCTTTCCACCACCTTCAGGGAGAATACGGGAAGAGAAGGGGGGGGGGGGGG